CAGATGAGAAATGTTAAGCTACGCAATATCGTTTATTTTCAACGTGCTCCACGTTAGGGCTGCGTAATATTCGTATAATCATCAAAAAGATTCGAGATTTTGTTGATACCTGCACGTTTCTAAAAGGTTCATTTTCAGGTTTCATGAGAAAATTCGTATTTGTTTTTTCGCAAGTACATGCTGATTTCCGACTTGCTGAAGTAGAAAGTATTTGCAATTTGTATGGGATCTTGTGTGGTAACAACATTTCATTACTTTGTAATCAGGTGATTTTGTTATTTTTGAGGTCAATTCAATTCAGTTCATCACTAATTACTGATAATTTCTTTTGTAGCACCTGAAAAGGAGCTAGATGATAATAAGATGAAGATAAGTATTTGTGCATTGCAGGGTTTATTTTTGATTTTTTTCTTTTGAATTTTTTATTACTTTCAAGCGGATTTTTCGCCTTCAACATCTCTCTGTGCGTTTCTTACCAGACTATTTTGAATTGCCTTAAGTAATGTAATTTGATGATTATTTATATGACATACATCCTCATCGATATAATGTAATAGTTGCATTTCAGCGGCATGTTTATGTGTTCGAATTTCCATGTATTGACGATGTAGTAGCAATACTTTCACGATCAGTTCTTATAAAATTTGCAGTAGAATTGATAGCAAGCTGCAGTGATTACGACGAATTATGTGCAAATATTAAGAAAAGAAGGCATGATATGAAAGTATGCATTATCCATTTTACTTGTGAAAAATCTCCAGTGGAATTTTGCTTTAAAATTCGAATAAACTGGAGCTTTAGTGTACAGTTATTCTGAATCTAAGTAGTGTATTATAATAGCTTCCAAACACCTTCTTATTCTCACCCTTTGTTCTTTGTTTTCATGAATTTTGAATTTCAGAACTACGATTCAACCAACCAGTCTTTTGCCATACGCATACAGTCTATTGGAAGAAGATGCAACCACTTTGCTGTTCAAAGCATAATTGCGGTATTTAGTTTTTATTTGACTCAGTAATCCCCGAAATACTTGTTCTTGTTTCTGGTTTCCTCTTGTTTGAAATTTAATTCTTTTCAGGATATTGGCAAGGCACTTGATTTTAAGGAATCTCCGGTAGATTTGAATAGTCCATGTAACACATTTTATGTTATCGAAGAATATGATTCAATACAGAGGCTTCATTTTGGGAAATTGGTGCTTTATAAACTTTCATTTTTTAAAAATTCGCCTCTAAAGTGACGTAAACGAACATTCCAGCATTCAAAAAATACTTTCGTAAGAATATGGTCAAGCAATTTTTAAAACAGAGCTTTAAAAAAAGAATTAAATAAATCATCGGTTTATTTTATATTTTTCATTTCATGTTTTTATATGAAATAGATTTAATAGATAGGGCGTGGCCAAGGTCAATTGAAGAACGACTATTCCTTGGCTGAACGATGTTATATTGGTAATACAACGATAGATCCAGAATTATCATTCCTTCAAGCTAATATAGCAAAAGCGGATATTGGCTCTCTTGTCCTTGATCCATTCTGTGGAACGGGTTTGTTCCATTTACTTTAATTATTTAGTAGTCATGTTTAATATGGCTACAATTTAAAAATATTGCGGAACTAATGGTCAAGGCGGTACAGAGTACAGTTTATGATTTATTAATCCTTGTTTATAGTTAAATAATGCTTTTGGGCAGATTTCAGGTGGGCTGTTGATTGCTGCTGCACATTTTGGTGCTGCTGTTTTAGGAAGCGAGATAAATTATCAAATTGCCAGAGCTTCCGGTAATATTCTACTCGAATTACGATTCTTTCAAAAAATTTTCTCTGTTCTAGTTATTGAAAGTTAAAGGCACGTACTATTTTGCTAATTTCAACTAATTATACTTCTTTCGAAAAATAACTTGTTTTTTTTTGTTCTCTTATTTCTGGTTAAATTTCTTAGTGATCAATTTTTGCTATAACTGCAGAATGATTGAAAGAGTTAGGCTGTTAGTTATAGTAATATTTCCATTATTTAATAATTGTTTTGTGTTTTATAGGTAGGTCGTCACGTGCTGGCGTCAAATGCAATACAGCTAAGGAATCAGTTGCTGCAAATTTTCAGCAGTATGGAACAGATGTTTATTTCATGGGTTTGGTGATAGCAGATTCCAGTCAGCACTTATTATGGCACCCTGGCATGCATTCCAGCACTCTTCCTGTATTTGATGCAATAATCACCGATCGTAAGTTTTATTTATCCAGAGAAGGATTTTGATTTCCTGAAATTTTCTTTATTTCTTTCAGTCTGCAGTGGTGCAAATTCCTTTAAATTCTCTGGATATTTTTTGTAGACGAGGAATAGAGCAGCAACTGAAATAGGTTCAGGCTTCCATTTCATTTATTTTAATTTTCTGTACTGATTATTAGTGACGAAAATGCACATTGACCTGACATTTTGTTTTTTCTAGCACCTTATGGAGTTAGGGAGAAGGGACAGAAGGTTGGCATCAAAGGAAAGGAGTCGTGGATAGTCAAAAATACTGAGCAGTAAGTTTTATTGCTGCTTTACTGATTCTGTTTTTCTGAGGAGATAAACTCAAAACTTCTTTAAATAATTTATTCTTACGTCAATTGTTCCTTATTAGTCATTTTTTCAGTGCGATTCATTACCCCGAAAAAGCGAAATATTCCATTTCCTCAACATTCCTTGATCTCATCGATCTTGCCAGCAAATTACTAGTTGTTGGTGGACGTTTGTTATTTTGGTTTCCAGTGTTCCATGATGAGTTAGTTGTCTTATTATCGAAAAATTTCATTAATAGAGCATAGCCATGATCATTATCCTTATTAAATTGAGGTCATTATTGGTTCCTAGCATGTATATTCAGCTTTATTTAGAATTTGTATTTTCGATCGTACGAAATCTTACGCTTTTTCCCATATAGCATTGCAATTATACGATGATAGTCATTACATCAACTTCTGGGATGTTCCATATTTATCCATTATAACCCTACTTTTGGATAAATGCTATGTGAAATTTTAAATGAACGTGACTATGTTAAACTAATTATTGTTTCCTGAAACATATGGGATAAAGCATCTAAGTGAACTACTTTTGATTTTTTGCTTTAATACTTTAGTTCAGCATCAGACTTTGCACCAAGCTTGATCGGAAAACTTGATCTTGATAGGTTCACGATTGAAGGGATATTTGCGTCAGAAGCTTCAAATAAATCTCGCTATACTATCAGAGATTGGCTAGTTCGAAGAGTATGACATGAATTGATGGAATTAATGGCAGATTATCCATTATAATAACATGAAGTCTCTTACGATATTTTGCGAGATATTGGTGCTGTGCAGAGTAGTGCTCTTATGTGATAATATGCATCATAAAAAATGTATTTCATGTTGAATGAGCAAGCATCCTTGAAACTTTGCTGATTTTTAGATATTCGGAAGCAATTTTGCCAAAACACGATGCGATGAAATTGATTTATAATTGTGAGCAGTCACTTTCCCGAAGATATTCGAGGTGAATTCTTTATTTCAGTAGTCGTTTTAATTTATCATTCCATGTGGTTTAGGCTTTAAAGAGATGAAAATTATTTATGCGACTGAGAACTAATCAAATTTTTATATACTGATAGTATAGCGATCTTTAGTAAAGACTACTATGCTATCTTTATATCAAAATTTGTATATGTTTCATCAATGTCATTGTATGTATGACTAAAAGGGATTGTTATTGTTAGAAAACTGGTTGATAAGCCATATTTTGTGTTATGACACGATATTGTCGTTTCTGACTTTGTTCTTTAATATTGAAATTTCCAAGCTGTAAGACAATCTGTTAGTGAATATTACAGGCGATTGCTTGTGTACGAAAAGCTAAGAATGGTGAAGGATGATGAGAAGACATATATTGAGAGGGATTGTTATGAAAATATAACTTTTCGACAACGTGTATTTATGAAGCATTGATTCACTTGTTTGTTTAATATGTTATTTTTTTCACCAATGAAATATGACATTTATATCTGCTAAACTGGTAAAACTTCTGAAATAAAGCATAGTTTGTTAGTATTGGAATGTTTATAAGCAAATTATTCACAGCGAAGTTCGTGTGATCCAAACATATATCACTTTTGCACCTTAGTTTCTGATAATGAAGCAAAAATTGGTTCGAATAATGAATCAATCTGATCGAACGTATAATTTATACGGATGCATAATTCATAGTGCCGGAAGTTTGCCAATTGTTCAATTTAATGACAGTGGCGGTATAAATTCGCAAGTATTGTCTAATTGACAAAATTTGCATTCTCTCAGAGCTATTTCATGCAATTTAAGTGTCGAATTTGTCAATATTTTAATCATTATTAATTTTTAAATAATTTTACGGTCGTAACTGACACATTGTGAGGATTATGTCCTACTTGCAATGTACTCCAGCAGTGATACAGGTGCGGCATGCATATATATTATAAATTTTAACACGAATGAATTATTCATATTTAATATTACTTTTTAGAGTAATTATTGGCTTTTTTCTCGTTTTGTTTTGTTAAAATTTCAAGCGAAATGTAATATTATATATCCGATTGTAAAAATTATTCGTTTAATAATAAATGAACACTAAAAAATAGAATGTATTAAATAAACAATAAAATTATCTTTCTAATAAATTTACTTTGTAAATAAAATTTGTTTGCATGTAAAATAATTCTTTCGAGAGAATTTTAAAAGCCCCTTACTACAGTTACCATGCGCAGGTGGTACAACAACACATGTCCTTGAAGCAATTGGTACCGAACGATTAGCATTTAAGGTGAAATTGAAGCAAAAATACTACGATTTGTATAGGGTATGGAATTTGATTGTACTCAATTCTATTTCTCTTTGATTAAAATTTAAAATATTTTAGTTAATTCAATATGCAAGTGAAATTGCATAAATAATTAGATAATTAGAATCATACAAAATAATAGGTAGGGCTATTTAGTGGAATATGCCTATTAATCATGTATGATTACATAATATTTTAAAAAGCAAGCCTTGCAGTTCTAAGGTACTGCGCTCTATTTATCTTAGAATATTTTCATCTTTCAAATTATTTAATTTTGCTAAAATTTTAGGATAAATTAAAGTTTATCAAATTCAATACAATTTTGTAAACTATTTAATTGTTATTGAAAGCAATTTAATTCATTAATGATGATTGTATTAGCTTAACTATTGTTCAAATTTTGATTCTTTTCTTTTTGAAATTTTTCTGTTAATTGAGAACAATTAAAAGAAATTCATATAATTTAATGCTTAACAAAAATGAACATCTTGTGATTAGTGTAAACGACTATTTGATATATAAATATCGTAATTTGAAATGAGAAATATTTTTGTTATTATTTAATTTGAAAAGAGAAATGTTTTTGTTAAACATTAAATTTTAAATGTTAATTTTAGGAATAATAATTTAGGTATCACCACCGCTTGGTTTTGTAAAACCGGGTGTTAAGAAGGAGCTGTTTTTACGACGATTAGTTAGTTTTGCAACATACGTTTCCCGATTTTTAAAATTATCTAATTTATTTCAATATTCTTTTCCTTTTCAGTATTATAATTTAACATCGTCGAATACAATATAAACAATAATATTTTAAGAGCATAATAATTTTCTTTTGATTAATAATTATTGAAAATAATTTTATTTTTTATTAATAATAATATTTGTTAATTAATAGAAGTGATATCTCAATATCTCAATTATTATTTATCGATTAATTATATTAATTTTATTAATATTAAATTAATTGATTTACTATTAGTAATTGATTAATTGATTGGCTAATTAATTGTTATAATAGTTAATTGTTTGATTGATTAAGATTATTTTATTAGTTCATGTTTCATTAACAATGTAACAAAGGAATATATATATATATATATGCGTCAGTAAAAAAAAAATTATTTAGACAATAATAAATTAATTATGTCTGATAATATTTAAAAATAGTAATGTAAATTATTTCCTTCATTTGTCACATTTGCATCGTTTACTTTGTTTGTTTGAATAAACATTTCATAACTGATATTTCATTTCATTGATATACAAACACATCATCCTATCACTAATTTATTTCAGCCTGGAAATCCAGGAAGAACAAAATTAGTGGTGGAGTATATAGCATCGCCAGATGGTTATGATCCAAGGAAACCGTTTGTTGAAGGAGCTGAAGTTGGCAAAATAGATTTACGCGTAATAGGTAGAAAAATTTTTTCCAATAAAGCAAATTTTTATATAATACAAAATTTTATGACCTTTGGCAATTTTTATGCTTCAAAATTTTGATAATTTAAAATGAACGATAAAATTTTTTGCTACGCTAAAATATAGTTTAAATATTTAGAAAGTTAAGGATAAATTGTAAATTCAACTAAAATTTTGATAATGTTAAAACTATCTTTCTAGCATACAGTGATAAAAAACTACCAGATGATAAGCCAAGTGTTATGGGTAAAGTGGTAACAAAAAAAGGACAAAAATTCATTCCGCCAGTAAGTAAATCCTTTCACTATCAATGATAGTATTAGCTTACAGGCTAATTCATGAAATTGGCAATGTTTCTACATCTTCACATCTTCAATTAGCACTTGCAATTAATTAAAAATGATACGTTTAAAATAAACAATTATGATAGCTAATTGAGACTAACACCGAATGCCTAGAATTTTTTTGCAACTATTTACACTTAAATTTTTGTATTATTTTCACAATTATAGCATAGGAGCATTATAACGTACGTCAAACTTAACGTGAAAATGGACATCTCATTGAAAAGTCCACAAAGACAAAGTGCCATAAATTTGTTTGATAATTAATTAACCATTCTCATTAGAATAGTATAATTACATTAAAAGATTCACAAAGACAAAGTACCATAAATTTGTTTGATAATTAATTAACCATTCTCATTAGAATAGTATAATTACATTAAAAGATTCACAAAGACAAAATGCCATAAATTTGTTTGATAATTAATTAACCATTCTCATTAGAATAGTATAATTACATAAAAAGATTCACAAAGACAAAATGCCATAAATTTGTTTGATAATTAATTAACCATTCTCATTAGAATAGTATAATTACATTAAAAGATTCACAAAGACAAAGTGCCATAAATTTGTTTGATAATTAATTAACCATTCTCACTAGAATAGTATAATTAGGTATGTGTTGATTTGATCTCACTATCACTGCGATCTTTGTCTAGTAATTGATGAAAAAAACAACATACGAAATTTTCTTCAAAAAAATAAAAAAATTCATATGAAATAAAATATTTGTTTACAAATTAATAAAACTTTTTTTAAGATTTCATATTTAATACATAAATTTTGCTTTAAATTTTGAAAAAAATTTACATATTAATTATGAAGAAAACAAAAGATTACTAATTAATGAAGAGAGATAAAATTTTTCATATATTACATTATCAGTGATGGAATAAAACTTTTAGGTTGGTTACGATGATCTTAAATTGGAAACAGAAATTGACGAATTGTTTAAAGATGAAAATAAAGCGGTAACAACAGCACAAATATTAGCGAAGGAAAAGGAAGGAAAAGGAAAAGTTAAAAAGGAAGCAAAAGGAAAAGTTGGAAAAGAAGGAAAGAAAAAAAAAGACGAAAGTTCTAGTACAAGTGATGAGAATGGTAAGTAAGTTCGACAATGCTTTCTATTTGTTCAAAAAATGAATCAATTATCACTATTCTTTTAAATGATAAAACTTATCAATGTTTATCTATTAATTTGCAAATGCGTGTATTTACTGATAATAGTAATATAATGGTAATAATGAGTACTGATATTACTAATGATAGATAATTTGTGAAGAGTTAGTTTAATTCCTATTAGGATTAAAATTAGTTTAATTTCGAAAAATTCAAATGACTGGTTAAAAATCTTCAATTATCTTATCTTACCTTGATAAATTTTTAGTTGTAAAAATGAATGAAAACTTTTTGGAAATATTTTTCAATTTGTAAATGATTATATTTTCAAGATGTATCAGATGAAATTATTCATGTACATTTGATAGAAATCAATTATATTTTTAAGAGGATAATTTTAATTAATTTATTCAATTTATTTAACTAAAATAAATTGAATTAAGAATCGATATGAAATGATAAAGACTTATTACAGTAAATGAGGAATGATAAGATTATTCGATTAATTTCAAATAGCATAGAATTTTAGCTCATCTACTCTTTGAAGGGATTAAGTTATGGATTAAGTTCATAGTTCATTTATCGAATAACTGCAAAGTGAATTAGACTGAATGAATGGTAAATGAATTTAAGCAATGATCTTTGTCTGATAATAGTAATAACAATTAATAATTTTATTGTTTTAGTGCAATTTTAGACAAAATCAAAATCGATCATATTATTTTGAAAATTTCAGAATAGAAAAATGACAAAAAAATATATTTACTTTTTATAATATTTCATAATTTGAACTTTATTTTGACTGCTATAAGATAAATTTAATAACTTCATCTTATATGATATTTACCGGAAGATTGAAATTAATTTATGAATTGAATAAATAAATAAGAATTTGGGTATGTATAGTTAATAGATTTTAGGTGCAGAAGGAATGCTTCATTTATCAGTTTCAGTTTGTAAAAATATAATAATTCTAGAATGCATATTTATAAGTTAGTTATTGTAATTGAAGCTTATTCCAAAACTCTGAATGAAACAAAACAAATTTTGAAAAATAATCGAAAAAGCAATCGAAATATTGTAATTCCTGTAAAATATTTTATTATATTATTTTCCTGAAATATTACAACATTGTTGTAATTTTTACGACTGAAAACTATCACTGATATGGATGACTTCTTCATATGTTAATATTTGAAAGAGTAGTGAGAGTGATAATTTTGCATTTATCTTAAGAAATAAGCGAAATTTTTATCTATCTAAATTATCATTTATTGATAAATGATAATTTTCAGGTAAAAAGAAAAGCAAAAAGCATAAAGGTATGTGATTTTTTTTTTATTCATATCAAAAAATAAAATTTTTCTCAAGCACTGAAAGATTTTTGTTACATTAAAAAATAATGATAATTAAGTAATTATAATTAAATTTCCAATTATACTTATTCGAAGTAAAAATTCACTTTCATATTTTGTTGCAGTTTTAGATAAGACGCTTATAATTAATGATAAGATTGATTAGATGAAAATAAGATAACAAATATTAGAAGAAAATAATAAATTCGTAAATAAATTATGTTATCATTTTTTGGCTTGTCAGGATTTGACAAATATCATCATTATCATTATAAGCCTGAGCAATTTGTTATACTGTAGTTTTTTCACCAAAGTGATATTTTTGTATTTCAATACGTTAGAACAAAAAGTGAAATATCATTGTTTGTTGCATATGGGAATGAATTATAATGGAAATGGAATATAATTGAAATGAATTGAATTACATTTCTCTTTAACTATAAATTTAAATTAAATCTCTTACTTATTTACTTAAAATCTTAATCTTATTTAATCTCTTAATCTTAGTCTTATTTAGTAATTTAATCTCTTACTTTCAAACGAAAAAACAAAAAGAAGGATGATAAGACAATAAAAATATTAATATTAATAGGAATTGCTGTTTTAAATATAATTTATATTTAGCTCCAATTCAAGTGGTTCTACCAAATTTGTGGAAAGATTTGGATATTAATAAAGCTCAAAATAATAATGATCAATTGAAGGCGATATTGGATGTGATAATGAATGAAAATAGACGAATGGAAGAAATTATTAAGCATATGATGCAAGAAATTACATTCCTTCGTGAATCACTTCTCTCAACTGTAATGAAATTAGGTGAAATAATTAATGAAATTTCAAGATTTCAGTTTTTAAAATGAAGTTTTCTTTTTTTGAATAATCAATTCAATATTATTATTTAACTATAATAATAGTTAAATAATCTTTCATCTAAAATTCTTAACCATTAGTATTCTCTTTTTTGCAGCAACACTATCATTAGCAAATAAAGAAGCGGCAGCGGCAACGTTATCAGGTAGTGGTCAACCAACATCAACCGCTTCTACTATGACAGGAAAAAGTGTTGGTGTTGGTAGCGATGCTAGGATCACTAGTGAAATTAAAACTACTATTCCTACCGGTGTTAGTCATATAACAAGTCCTGTTGCTGTGGGTTCTAGTACTACTACCGGTGTTAGTCATAAAACAAGTTCTGTTGCTGAGGGTTCTGGTGCTACTACCGGTGTTAGTCATAAAACAAGTTCTGTTGCTGAGGGTTCTGGTGCTACTACCGGTGTTAGTCCTATTACAAGTCCTGTTGCTGGCGGTTCTGGTGCTACTACCGGTGTTAGCCGTACTACAAGTCCTGTTGCCAGCACTGCTAATGGTGTCAAAAGTGCAATTGGAGTTGGTGAGGGTGGTGCATTAAGTCACACCGGTGCTGGTGTTGAAGTTGAAAACTACTTATCAGCCATGTTAGCTGAAGGTGGACCCGGAGGTAAAGCTAAAGGGAGTGATGATGGTTCTCCGGCTGTTGGTGGTGGAACAAAGGAATTTTCACTCTATCTGGGTGGTGCTGCTGGTGGTAGGGATGTAGGCAGTGCATATTTTACCGCTTCCAGTGCTGCTAAAGCTAAAAAAGATCTTGCCTTCGCCTTTGGAAGCACCGCTGATCAACTTGGTATGTTTGATAATTGAAAAATTAAAACAAAAAAAAAGTATTTTTGAAATTTTCTCAATTTAATGATTCATTTTATTGAATCGTATAAGAATACACTAAGATATAATTCTGAAGACTTTCAATAAATTATAATTCATAGTTTAAAAAAATTAACCTATTCTTACTTTCTCCAATTAAATTATTAATGATTATTTCAATTAATTGATATCACAAATTGAATATTCGAATCTATTTTATAAGTAATAACTCATGATACAATAATCTATTTCAAATTGTTTATTTTAATTTACTAAGTCAACATATAATTGATGAAATGATAATCTGTAATAAATGAAATTTTATTTTCAAATCTGTAATAAATGAAATTTCATTTTCAACAATTGAATACTAAAATCTTATATACTTTTAATACATGCAATTACTATTTTACATTATTTACAGCACTTCGAAATTTTTCTTTACAGAATTATCGAGAAGTTTCAGGTGGTAGCGGTCATCCTTATAGTCCAAGTGGTAGTAGTGGCGGTTCTGGTGGTGGCGGTGGCCATGGTGCTTCATCAGTTTATCTTTGAAAGTTTTCATGGCCGCTTGAATTTTTCTAATATAACACAGCATGGATATATAATGTAATGTGATATTAGCAATTATTGAACTACTTCTATTTGAATTATGTTTAAAATTTATTTTGCATACTTTTTAATTACTGATATATGCTTTCAATGCAATTCGCAAAATTTCAACTAATTAAAATTAATTCTATGTAAGAGGCAAAGACTTGAAATAAATATTAATTTTTAATTTTGTATTTATATTCTACTCTTTAATATTACTTTTTTAGCACAATACATTTTCCTATTTAGTTGCAGTTTTATTGAAATGATTGGAAAATTTGTTGCATATTTTAAATATTTGTTGAAATATTCTCAATCATTCGTACAGTTACTTTTGTAATACATTTTTTTGTCTTTAACTTATGAATTAGGTATGTTTAACTTTAAATTTAATTACATTATCGTTTTGATATCATTTCATTCATTATCATTATCATTATCATTTTGAAAATTTCACCAAAATTCTGTTCGATGATGCAATATCCTTGTTTCATTTGAAAAAATATCGGTATCAGTAGTGCCCAGATAGCAAGAAAATTTGCACATCACAAGTAATCATTTGAAATCTTCTGATGTTAACGTATTATTAGCACCATTTGGATTCTTAAATATTACGATAATTTGTTTTAAAAAAAGAAAGTGAAATAAAGAAGAATGATTTATCTTCATTCGGCAAAATTTATTGATAACTTATTTGAAATAACAATACTGAAAATCGGTAATACGCTTAAATTATCACTTATATAATCCAATTTCAAAATAGTATTAAAATAATTAAATAAAATTTAAAATAGATGAAAAGAAATGGCAATTACCTCAAACTTTTTTATATTACGAAGAAGCAAATCCAAATTTTAACAAAGTTTGCTGATAATTTCGATATTGCATATCACGGGTATATTATCATTTAATGATAATGGAAAGATATTTGCACCAAAAATACAATTTAATTCTTTGCAATATGTTGCATATAAATGGAAAAGCAATGAATCAATTTAAGAGAAATTATATGAATGAATTTGAAAATATTTTATTTGTTGTATTATTTATAGAGATACCGTATCTAAACCGTTGCTAACATTTTTTTATGCTTTTAAAAAGCAAACGAAAAAAAAAAGTTAATTAATTGGTAAACTGAAATAGTATACGTCGATGAACAGGTAAAGATGAAAAGGTAAAGAGGAGACGTAATCTTCTGAACAAAATTTGCTTCCTCTTCTAAACAAAGAAGGTGTCTAAAAATTAAACGGCTAAATTGCCTCTACTTAACTAATTGCAAGTTCAATGTAACTTACTGATATCAATAATTAACATTGTTCTCTTGCTGATATTATTGTTGATATCAATAAGTTAATACTATATACATAATAAGTGGATTGTTTTTTCCAATAATAATCTAAAGAAAAGAAAAAAGAAAATATTTGATATAGGATAAAAGGTTTTTTCAATATTTGATAATTACTTTTCAACGTTTGAGACAGCTTTTTTCATCAACATATCATTTTTTTTGTGCGTCGGTGAAAAATAGTTCTGTTTAATTATCGAAATTTATTTAATACAGATTGTTTAATTAATTGCCTTAAGGTTAAGTAAATCAAAGGTTAATAAAAAGTACTAATTATATTTGACGCTAATTGTATTTTTTGGTTTTGTAACATCTGAATCAGTATTGTACCCGGAATTTTTTAACATTTTGAATATTTAACAATGTTAATAAATTTCAAGAGTTAAAAAGAAAACAAAAGAAAACAACTCATTTAGCTTAACATTAAATGACACAATATATTACCATTAAATGATACTTTGAAATATTACAGTTAACTATTGAAATTAATTAGCTAATTTCAACAGCTAACTATTGTACTTTTCATCTAAAAAAAACCAATCAATAAATTTATATTTCACCGTTACTAACCTTATCAAAGCGATTGTAATTTATTAGCCTCCAGCTTATTATTGTTTACCTTACCATTTACTACGTACGTTTCAATATTTCAACATTACAAACCACATCAAAGTGATGTAACACACAGTATTTTTTTATTTATCGATAATTTCAAAAATTATCCCTCACGTTTGCGTAGATTTGAATGACTCGGATGGTTCAAATGGGATGTGATTTATTTATAACAAAGTAATTGTTGAAATTTTTGGAGGAAATATTTTTGATGAGAAAAGAAAAAGGAAATGTACAAATTTATGCAATAGTTTAATTCCCAATGGTATTATAAACTTTTTCAAAATATTGTTTTGATTTATAAAATCTTTCATTTTTTTAAATAACAAAAAAGGATGATGCAAAGATGTGAATATTTAAAGTTTTAACTTTTCTTGCATTATTATCTCTCGCATATTTTCATCCATCAATCTTTCATTTTTATCTATTCGTTAACATTTGTTTATATCTGTCTGATACAATACTATTTAAGCAATTATTTTTTTTCTTTTCTTTAGTTTATTATTGGAAAAATGATCCACTCATTGTGGACAATGTCCACTTGTTGATGTTTACATTTGGCGAAGTTTAGATAATCGTTATACTTCACATTGAGATTGAATTAAACATCATATTTAGCCATTTATTTTATTGAATGGAGGTGTTTTTGTTCTTGCCAGAGAAGAAGCAATTTTGTTTAATTTTTTAACATATGCGATTGATCATATGAAATTTTTAAGAAATAACAATTACGAAATTTTATCCAGAAAAATATGTAATATTACTGAAGAAAAGAAAAAAATGCAACTAATAAAATTGGATCCGGTAATATTCTTCCGGAAAGATAATTAATGAACTCTTATTGAAAACCAATATTCAATTTTTATGTTAGTAATATCATAAAGAAATTTTTCTTCGTCACAACAAAATGAATTTTTCATAAGCAATTTTAAAAGCTTATTTTTGATGACGTTTGAATGACTTTTGAAATTTTTGAAATTTTTGAGTGATTTCTAAAATTTCTGAAAATGACTTTTTGCAGGAGCTTATCGTTGAAACTAAAAATTATTTGAAATATTCCTTCATTCCATGAATTGTCTGATAATTAGATCGATGCTCATTGTTCTTTTCTTTTTTTTTTGCACTAATTAATTAATGAGTGATTTTTACTCTTTCAAAAATTGCAATTAATCATATATGCTTGTGAAATTACATCATCAATATTCTGTCATCTATAAAATCGAAGCTTTCTCATTGTGAATGAAAGAAGCAGCTTTAGCAATAAAAAAATATCATGTTATTTTTATTTATACTTTATTTGAACTATTCGTTTGAAGAAACAAAAAACAATGATGAATTAATGGTTGTTAGGTTCGATCGATCGTGAAATGCATTATCAACAAATAAATGAGAGGAATAAAATAATTTCCTTCCTATGCTTATAATTATATCAAAGAGAGATATGAAAGGTATTGATGAAAGATAAAGAGAGAGAGAGAGAGAGAGTAAGAATGCAAAGAAAAGTTTTCAAAAAGTTTTTTTAAAAAATAAAAAGCATTACAAGCTTTTCCTTTTATCATTTTCCTTTCATTTTTTCTATTGTTACTTTTTCCATAAATCTAAAAGAGTACCATTGGGAATTTAGTTGTACTGAAATTAAAATACATTTTATCATTTCTATTCTTTTCTCTCCCAAAATCATTCACTCATTTTGTTAACGCTTAAAAAGAGCGATTCATTTCAATTTTCGATGTGAAATTCTCTCTTTTACCGATCACAATTGTTTTAAGAATCGAATAGGAAATAATTTCTTATTCACTTTTTAAATTTATTATTTCATTCAGTTTTATTTTAATATTCATTTTTATAGTTTTGTAAAATTTTCTTTCTTTCTCTCCCCCTCTCTCTCTCTTTCTCTTTTTCTTTTTATTTTTCATTTTTTTCTTGCAATCTTTTCTTTTGACATTCATTTGCAAGAATTTAAGCAATTTAATTGTGTCACTAATTTAAATGCTTTTGTTTTTGCTGCCTTAAATGATTTTCTTTTTTTCAATAGAAATCATTTATGGAATATTATCAATTAAGATTCTGTCAATATGTCTAAGGTATGTAATTTTTAATTAATTTTGAAAAAGAAAAGATTTTTAATTTTGTAATTAAATTTATTGTAATGAAAAATTATTAAAGAAACGATTTTTGTTGTTGAAGTCTATTATAGAAATTTAAATATTATTATAGAAATTTTTCTTACCTTATTAATAATTGATTTTTTTTTTTAGAATCGAATAAATATCATAAATCTTATTTGCACAATATTTAATTTTCATTCATTCCATTAAAGTATATTTATATCAAGATAATATATAAGGTAAGGTAGGTAAAGTACATTAGTCTAAATTATAATCTTCCCTACCATATATCTATATCTAATCTCATTTCTCCATTTTATTGATTATTGAATGGCATGAGAGACAGAGTTATACTCAGTTGAATTGTTGTAAAATTTGTCATATTATTTCATCTTTTAGAAATAAATAATAATAATAATGATTAGTGATAATACTACTAACAGTTGTTAGTTATACTCTCATATTATTAAACTTTTTTATTAATTTAAACTCTCAGAAAAATATTAGTTTTTAAAATTTATTCAAAGAATAGCTATATTATTAGATTTTTTTTAAAATCGGAAAGATAGAATAATCTTAATTCGAAATGAATAATCATAATTTGAAATGACCTAATTTTCATTCCTATTTCATTCTAAAAATTATTATTTACATTCAGGTGAAAATTTATTAATTACATATGCATGCCAAATATGTATTATCACGAAAAATATATTCATATCCTCAAATTGTATTCATATTCTCAAATTCGTACTAAAAATTTTGTCATATTCAACAAAGTTATGTTTTATTGATGACTATTTCGGGTGAAAATGGATGTTAGCTGGCTGGCAATAAAATTTCATAGCTATATTAAAAACTGAATTTTATAGCTATTCAAATTTTAATAGTAGAATTTCGTAATTATAATTTAGTTAGTAATAGAAATTATTAATTATAAATTGCTATATGGATAAAATAATAATTTCGGAAATTTAAAATATTCATAATGAATGCCAAAATTAGAAAGTTGAAAATTTTCTATGACAATTGTTTGTTGCAAATGCTATCATTGTTAAGAGAGGAAGGAATAGGTGTAAAAATGTGGAATTTCGAAACTTTCTGTAAGTTTCAAATTACATTTCACTTCTTTTATTTCTTCCCGCTACATCGCTAAGCAGTTGTCTATTTGTCGAATTCTAAGTTGAAATTCCAAATTTTAATTTAAAATTTCAATTAGTGTTTAAATACTTAACGATTGATATGATTATTTTGGAACGAACAAATTTATTTTTCTTTAAAAACTTCATATGTTATAATCAATATTTATAAATTTTAAGTAATTTTAAATTTTAAATTTCAGTTTTAATTTATTTTTGGAAAAATTAACATTATGAATATTTTATAGTTAGTTTTCGTACTCTATTATCCAACACGAATGATAGATAGATTGTTTCAATTTTTCATTAGCATAGCTATTTTTCGCCGTGAAGTGAAAAGAAAATGATGTCCGGAAGAAACACTGAAGGTATAATTCGTCAATTAATTAGTTAATTAGTATATTAACTTAGCTTTTTTTTTATTCAACATTTGTATAACACTTTAATCAACTAATTAATTTTTTTTTTTTTGATATTATTAAGGATCAAAATTGATTATATTCGATTAGAATTTTCTATTTCCGAATATTGTTTTTGTTTTTGTTATTTTTAATAATTAAGTTTTTTCTGAAATCGAACATTTAATGATCGAAATTTTTGGAATTGGATGATATAACGATCGTTATTGTTGAAATTAGGCAACTTCAAAAGAAGTTATAATCATAAAATTAATTAAAAATAAGCCAAAAAGATTACTGACTTATTGACTTACTCTCAATTTAGTTGATATAAAAAATTATATTTATATAATTTTTAGCAAATAATTTATGCGATCGAACAATGCTAAAAGCAATTTCATTACTTGGAATTGGCATTATGTCTATATTTCTTGTTAGTTTCCTTGGCGTTTACCATAATTCGCAATCAATAAAGGCAATTAAATTTAAGAGCATTTCGCAAGGTTAATTAAATTTATTCTATTTCATTTTTACAAATATGCCCAATTTTGTTAGAGATACTTACGAATGAGAAGATCTATTAAGCAAATTTTCAAACTGATATTTGATATTGCTTATTTGAGCATGAAATTGTCACTAAGAATTTTAGAGAGTATAAAGAATGATTGAAATTATCAAATTTAAGATTCATTCAAAATGATTACTTAAATCGACAACGTCGATATATTTACAAATTAATTACTACAAAAATACAGTCAGTGATAAGTGATAATCATGATAGCAATAAAATAATAAATTAAAAAAATGCTTATTTGTCTTTTTTTTGCCGTTGGTTTTAAATTTTGCAACTTAATGAAGTATATATATATATACAAGTTTATACAACAAATTTTGTTATCTTAGGGATAAGAATTTTTTTTAATGCAATGAAATAATTTAATTAATTTTCAGATAACAATCAATCAAACATGATCGATATTTTAATATCAAATATAAATGGTCGTAAAATTGCGGAAAATTTACATGCATTCACTACTTTACCTCATTCAGCTGGAACAAAAGAAAATGCTAAAGTAGCTGAAAAGATATCAAGACTTTGGAAAGCTAGTGGTTTAGAAGGTAATAATTAATTAAGGGACTTTTTTTGTTAATTTTAGATAATCACTAAGAGTTTGAGATGGTATAAAAAAATGAAATGAAGCATCTGAATTATGCAATAAAATTATGTTCATAAGAAAAATGAAATAGCTTAAAATTTGAGAAAGAGTAGATGATTAGATTAAAATATTTTCAGTATACTATTTGATGATATTGACATTGCAGATGTTCATTATGTGAAATATGATGTACTTCTATCTTATCCTGATTATGATAATCCTAATCATTTGCTTATATTAGATAAGAATGGAAAAATTCTTTATAAAACCAAAGGTGTCAGTCCACCATTGATACCAAAAGAACAAAGCGCTGAAGGTTGTTGTAATTCATTTTCAGTTAATTAAATACTAAAAGCATCTTTTCGTATAAGAGCATTTCATTGAGGAAAAATATAATGTATGTATTTAGTATTTTGACGACCTTTGACTTACTTCACTATTGATATAAATTATATTTATTTCAAAGTACTATTTAATTTAAAATTTGTTTGATCAAAAAAGAGAAATGATAATATCTAAATAGAAGCTGGAATACAATGGTTAGCTTATTCTGCAAATGGAACAATTCAAGGCAAAGTTATTTATTGCCATTTTGGACGAAAAGAAGATTTCGAACGTTTAAAAGTTTATAATATTGATCCTAAGGTATTAAACATTTTACTTATTTCATTTTTTTCTTGTTTTATAGCAATTAGTAGTAAATGGTACAGTATGAATCATCTACTCCTAATTAATTATTAAAATTTTAAAAGCGAAAAAAAGTTCCACTAGTATTTCTCTTAGAATAGCAAAGAAATCATTATCAATAATAATAATAACAAAATGAGCCAAATTCTGATTATTGTTAGATTCATTGATATTTTTCCTTGAAAATTCATACACCATAAAGTATTTAGTAAACTATTTGTTATTGATTGTATAATATTTATCAGGGTAAAATAGTTATGATGCGATATGGTAAAATTTTTCGAGGCGATAAAGTATGGAATGCTCAAAAAGCAGGTGCTATTGGTGCTATTTTATTTTCTGATCCTTTTGAAGTAGCACGAAATGGTATAGAGAAAGGTTTGTTTTTCAAATTTTTGTCAAAATTTTATTTCATATCTTATTTATTAGTTAATTAGTGTAATTGGATCATTGCACATATATTTAATTATTTTAATTTTGTTTTAACTAATTGTTTTAATTATAAACGAATGATAAGTTTTGATTTTTGATGGCGAGAAAAAGAAAGGCATTGAGAAGAAATCAAATTTTTAAATTCAAAAATAAGGGCAAAAAAAGGAGAATCCTAAATTTATTGCAATTAATTTCTCATTCTATGACAAAATACTGTAAAAGAAAAATTTTCCTTATTCATTGAAACTATTATTTAATTATTGGACATATAAATTTGAATTTCAAAACTTGCTTTTTTAATTATTTTTAAAGTTTCAATCTACAGAAAATGTATATCCGAATACTGAATGGTTACCAAATGAGGGCGTACAACGCGGTACTATTATACATGGTCGTGGTGATCCTCTTACCCCATTATATCCATCGAAAAAGAATTTGTATCGCTCAAAAACTATCAAAGAAGTATCATTCAAATAGTTTTTCTTCACTTTCATTTACTTCTAATTTAATTATGAATAAATTTTAAATGATTAAGTACCAAATAAGTTTAGGATTGCGAAATATATTCCTTTATTATATTATTAATAAATAAGTGTTTTGGATTAAAATTTTACATTTCATATGAAATTCATATTTTCTTTTAATGATAAAACAATCATAAATATGAAATAATATTTCTTCTCGTATAGGTGTAAATTGGATTATGGAAATAATTTCTATAACTCTTATTGATTATAATTTAGCAATGATATTTAATTGAGTAAATTGTGGAAAGTTGTAAGGATGTTTTAGAAATGCTGAAAATTCTTCAATCGCGATTTTGCAATGTTAATTTTAAAATCATGAAATACTGAAAGATTTTCCTGGTATAGCAGAGGATTTTTATTAGTTTGTGACATTTTACAATAATTTCGGTAGATTTAACTTAGGTTTATGTTAGGCTCAAATTTTACAAAATTAGATTTGAATTATAAGAAATTGCAAGTTTGATTATACAAGTTTATTTTTCAAGATATTTTAAAATAGCACCTAAATACTAAAGTACGGTTCATAAAGTAAAATTATCCATAATTTTTCGTTATTTTATACCTAAGATGAATTAAGCATATTTTAACATCAAAAGTTTTAAACTGTGCACCTAAAAGTTCTTGGCCCTTTCATGAAAGTTTTAGGCTTTACTTTAATTGCTTCAACTTTGTTTATAAAAAAAATGAAATGAAAAAATAGAAATAATTTTTGCATTTCAGGCTATGGACGATTATGTGCTACCAACAATTCCAGTACTACCATTAAGTTATTCGGATGCTTACCATGTACTATCTAATATACAAGGTTTCTTAGCGCCATTCGATTGGCAAGGTGGCATTAATTTAACTTATTATCTTGGACCTGATATGAAAGAAAATAATGAAATTCAAATTACCGTTCATTCATCATTAAAAACCAGGTATTTTTAGGTATTACGATAGAGATATTAAGTTATAATTCTAATTTTGACAATTAATGTGAAAAAATTTTGAATTGAATTTATTCAAATTTTGCCATTTTTAATGAATTAATTCCATATTTTTTTTTATCCTCAATTGTTTATTTAATTTTGATTCCTCTTTAAAACAATATAATATCAATTATTGCAGAACAATCCGAAATGTATTAGGATATATTCGCGGTACAATGGATCCTGATAAATATGTTATCCTAGGTAATCATTATGATGCTTGGGTTTATGGTGCATTAGATCCAAATAGTGGTACGGCAATATTAGCTGAAGTTGCTCGAGGTATTATACAAGCTATGAAAATGACAACTTGGAGACCTGGTAACTTATCGTTTTACCATTATTAAATGATTTGTGTTACGTGCTAGGTGGAAATATATTAATTATTATGTATGATTGGGATGGCACGGGTTATATAATCGTTTAATATTCCAATTAACTTGAATAAATATTATTACATTAAGAGCTTACATTTTCTAATTTTCGTTAAAATCATTAATGTCGTCAAATTTCAACGTAATTTGTAATATATTCGTATTATCATTTGCTATATACGTCATAATGAAGTTTTCCGTAATCTATGCTTCAATGTTTATAGCATCAGAATGATATATTAAATAAATTTATTAAATAGTATATTAAATAAAATGGTATATTAAATAGTATATTGCAGCAAGAACAATTGTTTTTTGTAATTGGGATGCTGAAGAATATGGTTTAATTGGATCGACAGAATTTGTTGAAGATTATGCTAATTTGTTAAGCCAACGAGCCGTAGTATATTTCAATGTGGACAATATACACTCCAATTATTCCTTGTTCAATTTTTTCAATTCATTATAATTTTAATTCATTTTAATTTTTCATCTTTTTTTAAGATTTGTTTCTTATGAAGATTACATGAGTTTGTTTTAGATTTTAGATTGACAGTGAGGAATATTTTGACATCAAAAGATCAATAATGTGTGATAACTGTAGTAATTTTTACCATCTCTGATTAGTAACATCCCCTTGCTATTTCAATCACAGGAAATTATTTTTAGCAAATTTATTCATTTCAAAATAATTTGGGGATAGTTCTTAAACTATACTTATTAATATTCAGATAGCAAATAATTGGATTCTTAAAACAATTGGAGAAAATAAAAATCTGAATACTGTTATGGTCAATATTAGTATCGTTATTCATTATCGTGCATTAATGTAATAGGGAATTAAATTAGAAATTAAAATAACTCATTCATAATTCATTCATTTATTATAGACATGTAAGTACAGTACCAACATTATATCAATTCATGTCAAAAATGTCAAAATTAATTCCAAATCCAATGGAATCGGAGAGAAAAAGTGGACGAGAAACTCTTTACGATACTTGGTATGTGTTTTTTAATCTTTTAATTTATGAATAATTTATTCTCAAGTAAATTTTTTTAAGTATATTATATACTATCTTTAAATGGAATATGAATATACTAATAAGAATATCAGAAATTTATGTCATATTATTAATCAAGAACTTAAATTTGAATTATAAAATAATGAGAAAAGCAAATGTGATAATTTCTACAGGTTCAAGACTTTTCCAAATGATATCAGTTTCTTACCGGATATACCATCAATGCCAGTTCCAGGAGATGTAAGTGATCATGCAGCATTCTTGAATTATCTCGGTATACCAGTTGCTGATATCACTTACAGGTATAAGTTTGCAATTTGTAAGTTATTATCTTCAAGGTATGAAATAATTAAAAAAAATTGATAATAGTTGAAATTTATGAAAGAAAATTGAAGTATTTCCAACATTTTATCATTGCTTTGCTAGTTAAACTTTTTTCTTTTTCCTTATAAATAATAGAAATTTAAAACAAATTTTTTTTAAAATATTTTATCAGTTAAAATATTTCAGGAATAAGACATCGAACGATAATTATCCATTATATCATTCGTTGTATGAAACGCCATTCACTAATGAGCACATCATTGATACAAATAATCTGGCGGTTAGCGACATTTTAAAAATTTTATTTAATTACAAATCTAAATTTAACGTTTGACCTTTGTTCTATTATGTGATAAGTTTGGTAATTAACCTGTTTGCTTTTAATAATTTACTTATTTTTTTCCTTGCAAAAAAGCAAAGACGATAATGATTATTATTCGTATATGATCAGTGATATTTCTAAGAAATATTCAAATTGATAATGATAATTGACAATTTCTATACATATAAATTAAAGTGATAACTGATAATTTAAGTGATAAATTCTCCTAATCTTATCCATATTGTTATTATTCTTGACATAAGTGGACTTTTTCTTTCAGTCTTAAAATAATCGTGTTCATTTTTTTCCTCTTTTTCCAAATAAATGTCTTTTAAATCTGGTAATACGTATCGCTAATTAATTGCTATTAAATTATCACTGTAACAATAAACAATTGGATGAAATGTAATTATTTATTCCATTACAGGTTCATGAAGCTGTGGGTAAATATTGGGCAGCAGTTGTTTGCGAATTTGCCGATTTACCTGTACTTCCAATAAATATTACGGATCTTGCGCTTAGCATTGTTCACGTTTACATCCCACCAATTAAACAATCATTAAAAAAATTGAAATATTACGAAGAAATGTTGCACGATGTTAAACATCAATTAAATTGCCTATTTAATGTTTCCATGGTTTGTGGTTTACGTATTTTTAAAAAAATGTTCTTTAAAATTTTATTTAAAATATGCAATAGAAGAAATTTTTGATGTCGTCATATATTTTACAAAACGGTTGAGATATGGGAATTAAATGGTTATCTGACGATCTAGGGATGTGAACAGATTCATGATTCAGATGGGTAATCGATATACACAAATGAGATTAAATTCAGAATCAAAATCGGAATCAGACGAGTGTTGTTAAACCTAATATGCAAAATTGTATTTATTAATCAGTTTTATTTTAGCGAAATATTCTTAATTTGAACATTTTTTAGGAATTTCTGGAACACGCGAAAAAACTCGACAATATTATTCGTCATGCTTTAACCAACTATATTACTAATTTATATGATTTGAAGAATTTTTCATGGATTAATGATCGTTTAATGGGAGTTGAACGATGTTTTATCAATCCGCGTGGTATACCGGAGCAACCATCACAACGGCATTTACTGTTTAGTTTTAGCAATAAAAACAAATATCATTCTGTTACCATGGGCACTATTCATGATGCGGTATGATTCATTTTCATTTTATTCGTTAAAAAATTGCATTTCAAAGTTTTAGTCATAAGTTTAAACTAAGAGTTAAATTTAAAGTATCGATTGAAAACAAAGTAATAGCAAATTTGGATCTTAAATATAAAATTATTGTGGTTGAAATTGATGAATAGTTAAAATGAAATGTTTTGTTTTGCCTTGCAGATAGATACATTCAAGGCAGCAGAAAGTGACGCTGAACGGATTGTGGCCGGACGTCAAATTGCATTTCAGATATCCGTAATTCAACATTCCATCGAATGTGCCATTAGCACGCTAAATGATAGAATTTGATTATCATTGTACGGATTTTATTTTATATGTATTATATTAATTATAAAATTTTTAGTAAAAAATTGCTTCTAATTAATTTTTATTTGTCAAATTTTAATTTTAAAGATATGTGACATGAAAAAATATGCTACCACGCGTACAATATACGATATAGTAAATAAAACATATAATCAAAAGTAAGTTAATCTCACTTAATAATGGGAATATTTGCACTAATTTATTTCATACTAAATATTAAATTTAATTAAATTAAAAAAAAAAAAAGCTCATTTATCACTTAATTTTAATGTTTCATTAATCGTAATAAAAATCGTTCATCTAATGATGAATACTTTTATACAATTTCATTAGATCATTTGTATTGCAAAGAAAATACATATACAACGTGAACCACGTTCCACGTGTTCACACATTTTGGAATGATGTCGTTATGCAAGAAAAAATTGCTTTCATTAATATCTAATTAATTTAATTGATAATTGTATTATTCTTTTTCGAGAAAAAAAAAAGCTACAAATCTTATTTATTAAAAATCTTCCCTTAAAATATATCAATTTTTCATTTAATAAAATGAAACACAATTATTTTCCTAATATATACAAACCTTTGGAAATATTATGTCAGCTTCTTTTCCTTTCTTTTCGTAAATTATTTCGGTGCATAAACAAAAAACAAAAACTATCATCAAAATATACCAAACAAATCACGCGTGTATTTTAAAGAAGAATCGTCATCACTTGCTACAGGAAATAACGGGGAGAAAATAACGTGGAACAGAGAGAGAGAGAGAAAAAACGAAGATGAAATATAATTTCTTTTCTGTAATATATAAGAATTATGTTGAAACATTATTTTCTAAATTCTTCTGAAAATTTAAAATGTAAATGGATATTTCCACTTAATTCAAAAATGAAATAATTTATTATAATTGTATAAATTGTTAAGTAATTATTCATAAATCATTAATAATTTATGTATAAAATCATAGATGAAACAAGAATATCACTATATCAGAAGAAAAAAAAAAAAACATTGTAAACTATAATTGATAAATAATTCAGAAGTAAAAGTTTAATTGAAAAATGATTGCATTAAAAGTTTCATTTCATTTTTATATTTAAAACAAGATATAATAAATGAATGATTGCAAAAGAAATTTTCCATTTGTTTTAACTAACATTTCATTCAATTATTTCGCTTCATCCTCATCATTATCTAATTTCAAGGCAAATCGATTATTATTGAATGATCGTTGAAATTTCGTCGAAGTTTCTTTTTTCCTACCTAACAGGCATTTTTATACTTCAACAAAAATTACATAATAAAATGTGATTAAATCAATTTGAAAGGATAACATGGATATGGAAACAACTCAAACATCTTGTTCCTCTAATACTAATAAATGATAATATAATAATAGTAATAATAATAATAATAATAATAATAAGCCTAATAATAATAAAATAATGATGGTAATAATAATAACATTTCATATACTAAAAAAAAGATATGAATCTCGAAAAATTAAATGTAAAAATTCATTGTCTTTTCTCGTTCATTGATTAAAAGTCATTTCATCTACCATTATGCTACAAAATAATTAATGATTTCAAAAAATAAAGAAGAAAATAATTGTAAGATTACAGGAGGATAACGATGATTTCTTCCAAATGCTAACTAATTCGTACATAAATTTTCGAAATTTTACAATTTTTTAAAAAATAAAATTAACATCAAAATATGAAAAAAGGGAATGGATTAGCTCTTCCTTGAATTAAAATGTTCTTTTGTTTTATTTATTTATCATTTTCCTTCCTCTTTTTCAATTTTCGTTTTCTTTTCTTACTATACGTTGTATACAACACTACACATAAGTATACGGTATATATATATATATATTAGGCATTATTTTGCTATTAAAAGAAAAGGAACTCAGTGTAATAACTGTTAGATTACAAAATAATTAAAAGTATTTTGATATTTTTATTATTATTACTACTACTATAATAGATGATCATGAATAAACATGATAATTTTCATAATATACAGTATTCATTTTTTCATAAAAATTTGATGGCAGCTTTAATTCTTGTTGGAGACAAACATTCATAATAATGATAGATAGATTTATGAAAAATTAAAAAATGCATATATAATCATCATGTCTAAAAAAACAAAAAGATTATTTCATTTTTCACTATGATAAAGATAGAGAGAAGAGAAAGATAAGAAAGAAGAGAAAAATAAAAACATATCAGTGATTAAATTACTGTAATGAAAACTCATCAAATAATCCAACAAATGAAAATCAAAAATAATAGAGCTTATTTTTGATGAATTCTTTCATCAACCAAGTAAACAAGTATATTGAAAAGTTTGAATGGTTTATTTATAATAAAAAAGAAATTGTTTTGGATTACTAATGCATGTATATATGTTAACTATTATTTTGTTGAAAGAAATTTACTGATAAGAAAAATGATATCTTAGAATGTTTGACATCCAATAAAATAATGCAAATAATACTAAATTATAAACTTAAACAAATTGTTATCAAATAAACGATTTAATGAAATTAATAGAGAAGGAGAAGGGGAAAAAAATATATATATATCAATATAAAAAAAGAAATGATGATTTTATCTTAAAGTGAGCATATTTGAGAGCTGATGATGATATTCAAATTCAAATATATCATCAAATAAACAAGAACGATGAATGTTGTTAAGTACTTGACTAGAGAAAAGGGGACAATCTCTTCTACATTAGAAATTTCTCGTGCTATTTGCACTGTAAAGAAAACAAGTAAAAAATTCTTAAAAATTTGTATGAATTGTTTATTGGGTGAGAAAATATGCAAAGGAATCTTTCGGAAGAATTTCATTTAATTATGATTTAAATAAAAAACTTTCGTGACAAATTTCTTTGTAAGCTATCTGTTAGACTTTACATATTCGTCGCATTGAGAATTCGTGCAAAAACATTACTCACTTAACTATCAAAAAAATATGAGCGAAAATGAAAGTTAGCAATTTAGTTCAGAATTTTTTTTTTAAATCAAAAAATTATAAGATGAAATACAATGTTATTATATATTTCACGTAATATCAATTATATAAATAACTGAACTAATTAATAATTAAAGTGAATTATTCTATTTTTTTGTGCCAAATAATAATGAGATTTTTTTTTTGCTGAAGAAAGAAAAATAAGAGGAAATGTTGCAAATCGATGCATTTTGTTAGCTATAAAAATGAAAAAAGAGGGTGAAACCCGCTTGATAAACAATAGCTTATTAGCTTACTAAAACTGCTTCTTCATTAGGAAGAACAATACGGCTGATAACAAGCTTATTATGATCTTTTCATTGATCTTATAATACATTAACATTCATTCGAATAGATATAATCAAAACTATGACATTATTACTCATTTAATGTAGTACTTATCTACATAATATACTTCGTGTACATATATATATACATGTATTTGTTTGTATATATATATACATATACATATATATGTATATGTATATGTATTTATATCTATTGCTCAGCAATAATGGATATATGCGCAGGATAAACATATATCTCAGTACCAATGACAATAACACAAATGTTTAATGTACCGAGAATTGAGACATTATGATAACACTACTTTTAGAGGTTGATAATAGAAACAGGGTATTCTTATGTAATACATGTAATACACAGTGATAAAAGTTGAAAGCATAAATTATGAGAGTAGAAAGAGAAGGAAAAAAATCATAAATTGTGGCAATTTGGAAAACTTTACTAATTCGAAGTTCCGATTTTTTCTAATGTTTTCCCATTTAAATTTCCATAAAATTAGCAATAATAACAAGAAGCAATCGTTACAGAAATAATCCATAAGTATGGAATAGGAAAAAAGATGCGCTTAAATAAAATTCAATAATACGGTAACCTATAAAGTATTTATTCAAATTAAAAAAATATGACAAATGGTCCAATTCGAACTAATAAAAAAAACAAGCAGCCAATCCAGAGAATGTCGATTGTTTTTACAAATAATATTACCAAAACAAAGAAATATTTTCTGCTAGCACTTCCGACAAATTTCACTTTGAAGAAGCTTTGATACTTCCAAGCCATTGTTTTACCTTATTATGCATATTACCGCGATTTTTCAATCTGTTTCTCTGGTTCAATATCCTGTATCATCAATTCAAAATTGACCATTCCCAGTTTTGACGTAATGTCAACTTCAACATTTTGCGCATAAGCTCGGCATTCAACCAAAACAACTTTATTGCGCGGTAAATTATCAAACTTTATCATTGCCTGAAAGAAAAAAAATCTATTACATGTCCTTAATTTTCACACATGACAGATTCAATTTTTTTTATCCTGCTTCATTTTTTATTGCTGTATTAATTCGTGCTTGATCATTGTAATTGGGAAGAAGGTCATATTCTACTTTATTTTATTGGTAATATTAATGCTGTTTCGTCATATTTAATCGAATATAACAACTTAAAGAAAAAAGGGAAAAATTTTCCTTCCCTCCTTTTCATTTTAGGAATATAAATTATAATTTAATATAATATATGAACAAATATTTTCATTCATATTTTGCTTTATAAAAGAATTATAATAGACATTCAATGCAATCTTGCGACTTTTTTGGGAACCATTCTAATATAGGTATAATAATCGAAAATTGAAAAAATTTATAATGTTTGAAATTTGTCTTTTTTCCACCCCTTCTTTAATTTTTCATAAGCTCATCCTTCTCTTTTAACAAAAATCTTTCCTAATTTGCAGTCAATTAATTGATTCCAAGAAGTCTCCTCGGAGACTTTATTAAATTGGGTCATTTGAACAGTTTATTAAATGGCAGATATTTCAGCAGTGTATGACACGAACTGAAGACAAAATTATTCCTAAATTCGAAAAAAAACTTACAAAAGGCTGCTGATAATTAGGCATAACGGTATATGGATAGTATTTACCATCAAT